GTCGTACAACTGTTGGATGAGATGTATAATTGTCGGCGGCAACCCACCTGTCGTAGTGTTGCGAAACTCATTTCAGGTTTGATCTGTGAAGAGACTCGTGTTCTTGAAGAACGGTACCTGTGACATACACCGAGCATTCGAACAGAAAGACTATGACCGCTGTAGATGTCATGTATCCACTGGAACTCGAAAGTCGTACTTCTTACGGTTTCGATAGTTAATTTTCTCACTTTCATCAGTGTGAGAGGTCACTTTGTGACCAGTCAGTGGTCCGTACGAAAACCCATCAAGGTCCATTTTGGGACAACCTGGTGTATCAGTGGTGCAGCCATAGAATGTCCGCCAACTATACACGTGATCTGGGGCTCGATCCCTGGTCAGTGCACTCCTAAACCTCACTAAGCCTGTTTGTTAAAGAGGGAACGTTGGGCGTGAGTCTAACAACCCTACTCCGTAAAAATAAAAAAACCCACTGCTACTGAAATTTCAGAAATTTCACAACCCAAAGGAATAAAATAAAATCAGGTGCAATAACCAGGCACCTGATAGACACATAACAGAAGTTGAGGTCAGCGAAACTTTTCAGATAATAAGTATTGGGTAGAAATGCCAAAGTCCCTTCATTTCGTAGGTGCCACTGCTATCAAACAGTTACAACCTAAAGTCAGCATACAAAAGTATAGTGTTGCTGATTCCCCACTATCCTAATGATGGGATCCCTTTTTTGTATATTGCAATCTTTATCTGACTTATGATTGACACTCGCTGAGTTGGACTCATTACTAAGCTTTCCAATGTATTTGTTTGTTTGATTACGTAATAATTTACTTTTGTTTACCATACCCATTGAATCCCCACTTATTTTAACTCCCACACCTCCTCCTCTTAGCTCTCAGACTTCCTATTATTTGAACAAATTATGTTTATTTCAATATTATTATAAATATCCAGTCCATAAAAATGTTCTGAATTTTCTGGAATAATTTGAGCGTCATGTCAGCAGTAAAGTGGATACCCATCGACGTCATTCGTTAGCAGTAGTGCGTCATGACTCAGTTTCTCTGAGGTTAGAATTCACGAGTCATCGAATTCCAATCCAATTACTAACTGATCAACGGAGTGGCCTCATAGCTGAAGAGTTCCCAGTTCCATCTCTGGTAAGTTCAAGGGTGCACACTAATAAAAAGCCCAGAACTTAAGAGAATCAGCTTTCCACTACGCCTTAGTTTTGATCATTTCTCTAACTCGTATTGATTTTGAATGACATTATCCAACATTATCCTACATAAACCAAATATCTGAAGGTTTTGCTTTCATCTGAACTATCTTAAGTCATATGTCGCTATTTAGTACTGCTAATAGCTTTATCAAAGTATTATTAAACCGGAATTTACAAAATCTCAGCCCATGTTTAACAACTTAATCATCGTTCCTCAGCATTGGGGTATTTTCGCGTTGTTATTAAGTTGACCAACTTGTAAACGTAACAAAACCAGATGTAGATTACTGTTGGATTTGATAAGTGTGTAAAACTGTAAGAGCAGCGTGTGTTTACATAATGAAATTGCTTATCACAGTTCTCCCAGTTCTCCCATGTAGCTAGCCAGAAATCAGGTGTGTTTTGAACTGATTTGGCTCTTTCAGCTAATTCAAACCAGGTAAACCTCTGATGAGATCGATCCCAGGGCAGCTAAAGGATCATTCGGTATTTAAATCACCTCTATCTGGCAGCCTAGCAAGCACTACTGGTTGATTTAAGTGGAAATAAAACTACTCATCTTAATTAGTCAGTAGTTTATCATTTCGTAGACATAACTTGACTAAATTTGAATGGAAATAGGTATAATTTTACTTACAATTGGCTTTGGTTTGTATTAAGACTTAAAAAAAGATATTTTATATCTACTGTATCATTGTGCAGAAAAGTAATTATTCATATAACTACGTTGTGCCTATTGTTTTATTTGTCTCCCCTCCTTGGCAAACAATTTCCCTTGAAAATCTTTTATTGGTTTCATCATCTGAGTTGATCTCTTCCTGGATAGAGATCTGGTTATCTGATATGATGTCTTGAGGTCTCTTTTACCTGTGGCCTGCCTGCCTTTTCTGCTTTAGCTACCAGCCAGTGTGTCGTAGAATTGTCTTTCCTAGCACTCTTCTTCACTTCTTTCTTTATTTTAGTGCAGTGTACATTGAACTCAGCTTCTCCTTCTGTTGTTCATCTTTGCATTGAGTCATCTTCATCTTCTCTTTCAATATCCTCCTCTCCTCGATTAGCTTCCAGGTAGATGCCCATTGAGAGCCATTCCTTGTCTTGTCTCTTCTTCCTTCCTAGAACAGTTGTACTCGTTTCCTTGAATATCGCCTTCAGAGGGTTTGTTCCATTGTTCGTCCATGCAGGTCTCCCCGGTGATGCCACGTAGTGTCTCCGACTTCGCTTGATCCAATGTGGAATGAATGTGTCCCCTGTAGTTTTGTCCCTCGGTTTCGGAATGTTGAACTTGAATTGCGGTCAGTCTCCAGTTGGTCTGAAGGAATCACCTTGAAGGTTCCTTGAACTAGATGATGGTCTGAATTCACATCTGCTCCTCTTCTCGACTTTGTATCCAGCAGACTGTGTCTCCACATCCTTGAGCAGCATTGAGATGAAATCTCTCTGGTTCGTGGTGTGTCTATCAGGCGAAACCCTTGTGCCTGTACACGCTGCCTGCAATCATCAAAGGATTGAGGGCGCAGAGGTATGCGAACAATTTTGCGTTCTCATTCATTTCGTCGAGCGACAGTCTCTCAACCCATGATGAGTTCGCTTCCTGTATTGTCTGCTCCCAGTTCAGCAGGCATTCAAGTTGCCCGTGAGGATCTTGATGTCACCATTCGGGATGTTGTCCATTACTGTTTGTAGTTGTCTATAGAAATCTTCCTTCTTCTCTTGTTCCGCGTTGTCTGTGACACTGAGAGTAGCATTTGATAATTGTGACCTCTCTGCCTTCCTTTTGAGTTGAATCATCCTGTTATGATCCTGGATGAGGAGATTGGTTCCCACTGCATTAGGGCTCTGGCTACCACTGGTAGAGATTGAGTGATACCTGATTGTTTTAACTATTTAATGTAATAATAATAATAATAATAATAACAATAATAATAATAAGGATTTACTTTATTCCAAAAACAGTACTTGTGATACAGAATGGAATTTTCAGCATTCATCACAATATTCCATTTAATTTCCTCAAATCATAAATCAAATTAATCACACAGAAAAATTTTCCACATTTAGAATAGGGGTATTGTCAAAAACATGCAGCATATAAAATGGAAATAATAATTGTGATAGCAGCTAAGGTAATGATAATAATACAAGTGGAAATGGCCGTGGGCTTGTTTCACACAGTATTGTCGATGCGGTATACTAATCCTAGCATGATTAAAAATATTGCATATGATGTTCTCTTTACATGATATGGTGAGGGGAAAAACAAAGATTACAGAAGTCATAGAGATAAGTTGGTGTTTGCAATAATGAAAGTAAAACAAAGAAGCATCAGGACCATAAATATAATAGAAATAATAAAAGTAAAACTTAAAGGTAGATAAGGATGGATGGAGGAAATTGTTTATTTACTGGATGAAAAAAAGGTTAGTCAATTCTTGCCTGACACTATTTTCATTACATAAAATACGTGCCAAGTATGGTATCATAGAATTTTTATACTTAGATGTGCGAGCATACAGTTTTCTGAAGTTACTTCTTGTTCTACCTGAGGAGATGCAAGGTGAAGGCTGAGGGTGAACTGGATGCTCCAAGTCAGACAAAATCCCTTTAGCAAATTTATTGCACGAAGTTAAGTGCCTATCGACAACGACGTCAACTATGTGGTCCACTGGGACACCACTCATCCTACTGACAGTCTTCAACATTCTACGAATTGTGACATAGTCTTTTGTAAGCAAACCAGGAAAGAATAAGGGTGAACAATAAAGAAGAATAGGTAGGATGCAAGAGTTTATGAACTGTAAGAGGAGGGGTTGAGTTATACCCGAGTGCCTTAACTTCTTAATGTAAAATGTCAGGCGGAATATTTTACTGGAGATCGCTAAGACATGGGAAGACCAAGAGAGATCAGAAGAGAGAATAAGTCCAAGGTACTTAATTTCTGATTTAATTCCTGTATCATTGTCGTCAATCTTACAGCTGTCATGAAAATCGACGGCTTCTTTTAACTGTCTTTTACATCTTAAGCTGAAATTAACAGTTTGACATTTAGAGGGATTCAGTTTAAGACCGTTAGACTCAGACGGAAAATTTTCAATTAGTGAGTTATGCGGTTTGAGGAGGTGAAATTTTAGCGTAATTTCTTTTGTAAGTCGAAATGATTCAGATCACATTGCATCTGAACTGCTTGATACCATTAAATGAAAATCAAGAAAGCAAGGATAAATGCATGATGCTGCACGCCACTGATTGATTGATTGATCAGTTTGAACTGATTCACCTGTCTCAGCTGAGTTGAACAGGGCACAGTGCAGATGAACTTGGCCTCAAAGGAAAGAAAAACGGTCTTCCGGTGTTCCTTGGTCACTTCGATCGGGTTAGCAAGTACCACTACTGGTTGGCATGAGTGTGGTAACCAACTACTCATTTCAGTTAATCAGTAGTATATAGCTGCCAGACAGTACTTTTCACAGAAAATCTACAGTGTTGAGTGTTATTCATATCTGTAAACATATATTGTTTAATAACTTCAGAATGAAGTCATAACTAATAACGTAGATCTACTTCGTAGACATCCTTCTGTTTACTGCCTTACAGGTTGACAATTTGCAGCCTTTTTTGCTGGGTTTTCTTTGGATCAGATATTTGATCTGCATACATAGTATTCGCCTTCATTTCTCATCTCATTACATTTCTCCCATGAATACTATTCTTTGCCTTTTAGTATATGTGTATAATTTTCTATTCACATATGCACATTTATTTTTTCGGAAAATAAAAAAAATAGGTACATATATTGCCTATAGACCAAGGGATAAACCATGGGATCAACAAGACTGTCAACGTGTTTGTTCTACATCACGATGTTTTTGTGGTCATTTATTAAATCAACATGAAACATTCACTGGGAAACAATTATCATTAAAATGTCAGCAGGTGAGTTGTTCATCGTTTAATCGATTTTTTTTTGTTATTGATCCTTTAATGATTATTTATTCATGCCTATTTCATTGATTCAAAAGTACATCTACTTCAAAGTTTAAAGAGATAAGAAGTAGTACTCACTATTGTTATTATTATATTATTTCATACAACCGATTTTCTTGATTAGTCTGAACAAACAAAGAAGGAACATATTTGCTGGTTTCGTCCCGCGGATTCTCTTCAACTGCATACATCCTAAACAATATCAAATTATAATTTTCTGTAGTTGGTTTGTAAGGATTAGTTTTGTTTTTACGAGTTGATCACGAATTGATATCAGTTAGAGAACCATTGAAAACCGACACTGGAGTACTGGACAACTGTTTCATCCGCCTAGTTTGGGAATCATCGGCAGTACGCACCCACCCAAAGCCAGGATTCGAACCCAGGACCTTGCGGTTACTAATCCTTACAAACTAACCATAGAAAACTAATCTGATGCTCGCTAGTGACTTTCTACAGGACGGAGTTTCCTGGAGTTCTAGTGAGAAGTCGTGACCAGTGAGGTCCATCCAGACGTCAAGTGTGAGGATGGATGTCCCACCGACGACATTGGTAAGTGCTAGTCGCGCTAAATCACGAATTGGTAGAAGTTAGAATTCATGAGCTGGCTATTGAATCGGGTGCCAGTGGCTGAATGGTATACGAGCTTGTCTTGTTACTGGAAGGTCCTGGGTTCGAACCCTGACTGTGGGTGGGTGCGCTCACAATGATGTCGAATTATAGATAGAAAGTATAAGTAATATAATTGCATAGATGATGTAAGTGGACGAATTATTTAGTTTTAAAAGTCTGTTTATGGGTGTAATAAGACGAGAGGCGGCAGGGGCGTACAGTTCAGATTTCTCTTCGAAATAAGGGTTTACTGTAGACAATACACAAAATCGAACAACAGTGTAAATTCGTACATATTATGATAGAGAGTTCAGGAGGGTAGGAGTGAATAGTTAAAGTAAACTTAGGACATAGACAAAACAATTTAGTAGATTTGGAAACTTAACAGTGAGTTCAGCTCAGTAAGCGGAAATCAAAATCAAAATTAAATAGTGTTTTGCAACAGAAGACACCGCAAAGGGACACAAACAAAACAATTACAGTGACCAGTGTAGTGAGAGATTAATCAGGCTATCTTTCTGTATACAGAGGTTGGGTTGATGCCTTTTGATAGTAATGGCTTCTGACAATTAATGTAACTGAGGTTTTCTTTGTGTATTGATTATTTTGAAGGCGTAACTAATTCCCACTGTATATCCCGTATCATGTAGGTCTCTGGTAGTCGCATTTGAGAGCAGTTTTGCTGCGTTTCATATGAAAAATTTTAAGCATATCCTTACGATTAAGTTCCCAAATCTACTATGTTGTATTGTCTATGGTGTAATTTTATTTCTATATTCACTGCAAGAACTGGCGAGGAATCGTGCTCCTGTCGACGCCAAGTAAAATCCTGAGTCGCATCATCCTGGAGAGAATAAAAGACACACTGGATACAGAACTCCGACCAGAACAAGCTGGATTCAGGAAAGGCAAATCATGTGCTGATCAAATTCCAACTCAACGCATCATCATCGAACAAAGCATGGAATGGCAATCAAATCTCTACCTCAACTTTATAGACTTTGGGAAGGCCTTCGACAGCGTTGACCGCGAAGTAATTTGGAAACTACACAAGTACCACGGCGTACCCTAAATATTCATCAACCTTATTCAACAGCTGTACGACAACGGCACATATCAAGTGATCCACAACGGAAAACTCAGCGAGGCGTTTGGAGTAAACACAGGAGTCAGACAAGGGTGCTTATTATCACCAATGATATTCCTAATTGTGGTGGACTGGATTATGCGTCAGACAGTGGGAAACGAGAAGACAGGAATATCCTGGACCAACTTGAAGAACCTAGAAGACCTGGATTTCGCTCGTGGATGATTTATGTTTGATGTCACACAAAATCGAAGACTTACAAGCGAAAACCGACAAACTGGTCGAAGAAGCAGCCAGAGAAGACAGGACTCCAGGTGAACATAGACAAGACGGAGGTTATGAAAATAACCAACCAACAACAACAACAACAGCTGCAACATCCAGCGCCAATCACCATCAACGGGAGGGATTTGAAAGAGGTTACTTCATTCACTTATCTAGGGAGCATTGTCTCAACCACAGGAGGAACGGATGAGGATGTCAAATCGAGAATCAAGAATCAAGGCGAGAAACACATTCATCAACCTGAAACCAATCTGGAAATCTTCGTCACTTAACTCAGCATCAACAACAAAATTCGGATTTTCAATGCAAACGTCAAGTCAGTTCTTCTATATGGATCAGAAACGTGGTGGGTCACAAAGAATATTTCCAACAGGTTGTAGACCTTTATCAACAACTGTCTTCGCTCTATACTGAAGATCAGATGGCCGGAAAGAACAAGAACCAACAAGAAACTATGGGAACAAACAAAACAAGAACCAATCGCTCAACAAATATGCAGGAGAAAGTGGAGATGGATTGGACACTCACTGAGGAGGCCACTGGGTGACATCGTGCGTCAGGCCAACGCTCGAGTGGAACCTGAAAGGGAAGCGGTGAGTGGGACGTCCAAGGGTGACATTGAGGAGATGGTGTGAAGAGGAATTGAAACAGTATGGACTAAGATGGATGCAGGTGAAAAGTAGAGCAGAAGACAGAAGCAAGTGGAGGTGTGCAGTTGAAGCTTTATGTTCCACTAGGAACCCAAGGGAACAATAATAATAATAATAATTCACTGCCGCCCTCTTGAACTCTCTATCATAATATGTATGAATTCACTTTGCTTTTCGATCTTGTATTTTGTTCATGGAAAATTCTTATTGTAACATATAAAAAACCAAAACAAGTGATTCAACGAAGAGACTCTTTTCAACAACGAATTTATTATCAAGCTGTACAATCGTATATATATATATATTATATCTTATGAGGGATCGGAATCATACGTGTGAATACATAAAATAATATTAGTAGTGTGAAATGCAATTAAAACTAAAATGTTTATGATTATAATCATAGTTCCATGTCAAATGGCAAAACAATTAATGTCATATATAGAATAATTCATAAAGTGTATAGATGTTGGAATGGGGTGTATAATTATAGGGTTAGTAGGCAAATAGAATAGAAATGAAGACGTTACGCATAACATTGTGTGAAATTCGATAGTATAGAATTTAACGTTGCAAAGGTGACTTAGCTTTCGATATCATCATTACAAAGAAGGATCTCACAGTCCCTGGAAAGGATATTCCTTGCTTCATCGTTGAGAATAGCGTTTTCTGGTCAAACACTACTGTTCATTAACCTGAAGGATAAGATACGGCAGTTGATGAACTCTATGTGCGTTTATCAATTCACCTGCTCTTATGGAGCTGGGTATACCATTCATTAGACTCGGGTTTTGTCCAATATGCTTAAGAAGAGGTGAAACTGGAGCTTTAAAAAGAAGGGCAATCATTGTACATCTGGTCGATACTAATCAGCCTACCTCTACAGCTTCAGGCTTTAAAGTCATCTACAAGGCGAAAAATAATTTGCCCAAATCACTACGTACCCGACTCATCTGTATTGCTAAAGCGTTGACCGTCGAAACAAAAAAGCCAGATCTCTGGATACAGAAAAGTTCATTCAACCCCTCCAACTTTCATGATCTTAATCCCTTTATGCTAAAGTATGGTAATCTCTAATCATATTTTGACTCTACTTATTTTTTCGTTTTGTTTATTCAGTTTGCATACTCTTCTTTTATTACGTCAATTGTTACTGTTAATATTCTCACTTTGAATTGTTGTCCCCGGCATTATTTCACTCGTTCCAGATGTCATTGTGAGTCAGTTTTGTTTTTCAACTTTCAAATTCTATGTTATGAAATATCACACAATGTTTACGTAACATTTTTATTTTTAGACAAAGCAATAAGAAGATGTAATTTGTCTGAATCGTGTAATCTGTTTGCACAACACATTTCGAACAATGTGATCGATCACACATGGGTTTGTCATAGGAATATATATGAAATTAATAAACAGGTAAGAGGTGAGAAAATAGACTTAGTTCAAGTTAAAAGAACATACTGAAGGTCAAAATAACAATGAAGACCACTAAACCAAATAACAGAGGTAATAGTACATCTACCCTGGTATTAAAACAAAGTTTAACCAAGCAAGGTTTATGCTGGTGATGAATTGTTTTTGAACGCTTAAAGGTAGTTTAAACTTCCCAGTTGCTAGCTAGGCTTTCTACAAGATTTAGGATCCATCCCAAACACGTTTTATAGATAGGTTTAAAAGACGTGTAAACATCAATTTGATGTTCTGTCTCCTCTGTAATATGTTTCGCAATAGAGGAGCTAGGTCTCCTGTTCTCACCGTTAATGGGTTCTGGAGATTCTATTTGCTTCTGAAGCCAGCCTTTACTTGCAGAGATCGATGAGTTCTCCCTATGTGTGTATGCGTGGCCATGCTTAAATTCAAATCGGTAAATACAGTGGGATGTGACATCACGATTCAGACAAATTATGTCTTCTTATTGCTTTGTCTAAATTCATAAAGGGAAGTAATCGTTTTAAAGTTTTTATTTCTATTATATTTGCCTATTAACCCTATAATTATACACCCCATTCCAATAGATATACACCTTATGAATTATTCTATATATATGTCATTGATTGTTTTGCCACTTCACATGGAACTATGATTAGAATCACAAACATTTCAATTACATTTCATACTACTACAATTATTATTTTATGTATTGACGCCTTTGATTCAATTCCGTCACCGGATATAATTTCTTAAAAACCATGTATTTATATATACGATTGTACAGCTTGATAATAAATTCGTTGTTGAAAAGAGTCTCTTCGTTGAATCACTTGTTTTGATTTTCTTGTATTCTGTCTCTAGTCAATCGTTGTTTGGAAGCG